TTCCCTCTTTGCTCCTTACCCAGCTTTGCCTGCTCATCCCTCATATGAGAAAGAGTGAGCTGGGCGCTCCCCTCGTGCTGTCTCTGGTGTCGCTGCTGTGCCCTTGTGTGCAGTGTAGGAGGAGCAGGCGGTTCCCTCCCATGGAGCTGGAGGATGCATCTCCCTGTGAGCTCCTTCATCAACTGCATGAAACCAGTTCTTTGCCTGGTGGGAGCCAGACGGTGCTCTCTGAAAGTGTGCTGGGGCTGTTCAGTGAAACCAAGCTTGGTTGTGGAAGGAGACCTGAGGAAATCATCTAGACCAACATCTTGTTCAGAGAAGAGTCAGCATTGAATTTGCGAGTAGTTATTGTCCAAAACTGGCTGACAGCCTGTTGATGAAGTGCTTTTTCCTGTGCCTTCAGGGCACCTCTCCATTTGTTGGACTCCACATTTCTCTACCTTGTTCTGGCTCTCCTCTGTTAAATTGTCTGGGCACAGAACTCCATGCGTTTCCATGCCACATAACATCAAAGGACACTATCTGTATCAGGCTGGCTTCTCGTGCTGCAGATGGGAACTCTGATGGACATCTGATGGGACTTTGGTTTCTTAGGCTAAATAATGTGACCTAAACCTGGATCAAAATGAGGGGAAGTCAAAGACCTGGGTAGGTTTTGGAGTGTTGTCTTCCAAAAGTTTGGGAAGTTTTCTAGGCTGTCTTTTTAGTCTAGCTACAAGGAGAAAAGGTTGTTTTGTTGTAGGTTAGATTTTAGCTAGTTTAGAAGTGAGAAAGCCACTGGAATAAGAAAATGGAAGTCTAAACCACCTGAAGGATTGCTATATAAATTTGTCTATCAGCTACTGTTAAGTATCGAAGCTAAGTAATTGCCATATCTGCTTCCCCAGATGTGTTTTGACCTCTGGTTTAATTATCTTTCAAAAAATTGTCCATTCCTGAGTTTGCTTTTTTTTTTTTTTTTTTTTTTTCCTGAACAAACTGCTGCCAATATGCTTGGAAGAGTTTATTTTAAAGGAAAAGCATTTTCACAAACAAATTTTGTGTTCATTTTTCTTTCTGTTCCTGAGGGCTCTCTACCTACTTTTATTTCTGATGTTCCTTTATCATGCAGTGGAACCTAAGGCCCTGTTTACTGGGAAATGTTCTGAAAAGCCTAAAACTTTATATTTCTATAAATAAATATGTCTGCTTGAGTAATGTACTGTTTGAGTTGGAGTCCAGTTTTCAAGAGATTTTGGTTCAAGCTTGATTATTGATGAACTTCTGTTCTGCCTTAACAGGGGTGAATACAGGAGTTAGACCTGCTATTGTTTTCATATTGCAAAATCCCATGTGCAATGAGATTTGCCTTACTTTCTGCATCGTTCCACACCTCCTGGCTGGTTGTGAGGGAAACAGATTATGTTCTGTGGGGAGAGCTCTCTGATTCTGAATTGCAAGGTTAGCCATCAAGCTGGGAAGCGTCTCCATTACCTGTTATACAAAGCCTCATTTTACTGTCTGTGCTCCTAATCTGGCTGCACAGCTCTGACCCTAGGTGGCTACAGGCGATGCCTTTTGGAAACGAACAGCAAGGCAGGAGCAGATATAACTTTCTCCATTGATACCAAGACACAGGAAGAAGCTTGCATTCTGAGTGCACAAAGTCCTGTGTCAAAAATCTTGTCTGTGTCCTCACTCTGCTGGGACAATGGAAGCAAACGGTCTGGGCTGGCAGGCTGCAAAATCAGCACTGACAACCAAGAGGAGGAGGTGAAGCTCTTGGTGAAATGGCGCTGACAATTGCTGTTGCTGGCTTGTTTGTGTCTGTGGCTGCTGCAGCCACTGCCTGGAGGCCTTGGCCCCATCCTGAGCAGGCAGGAGCCAGAGCAAACAAGCAGCAATTTCTGTAAAGAGTATCTTGATGTGGTGATGTCAAAATGATCATGCAGGACTGCATCTCCCTGAATACTTGTCTTAAAGTACACTGCTTGGTTCTTGGCTGGGGCTATTTTCAAAACGCTAGTAACAATCTCCTAGATAATCCTTTGCTGGAAGTTTAGCTTTGTGCAGCTTCTTGGTATTTTATTTTGCTTTGTTTTTTATTCATCTGCCTTGTCAGATTCCTTTTTGGTCTGTGTAGACATGAACCATGAAGTCACTGTGCAGGGGCGCTGGCTTTTCCCTGAGCACCCTGGCTGGAGGAGCCATGCAGACCCTGGCCAGACCCTGCACAGTGACCGCTCTCGCACTGCTCTGCGGCCCAGACCCAGCTGCATGGAGCCAGCCAGGCCAGACTGCAGTAGAATCACCATTGTCTTTGTTTCCCTGTTTCCCAGCAGGGAAATGTATTACTTCTCAGCTGATCTCTGCGAATCCTGAAATTCTCATTGGCTCCATGATGCCTGTCTTATTTGCTGAATAACTTTTGAATAACATTTTTCATCTGTAATCTCTTTTTTTTTTTTTTTTCCCCCCTGCAATACAGGGAAAGGGCTTTGGACTCCATTCTGGCTTGCATCTTATGCACATTTTACCCCTCCATACTGAGGATATGTGTTGTCTCCTCTTGTCCCAACAAGAAAAGGGTCCATCCATCTTACTCTGAGACAGCCTCTTCGTCTCCGAAGGGTGTAGGTTGAGACTTTGAGCATTGCCACATCAAAGACAATGTCAACTATCATTTGGCCTCTGCTATCCCTTTGATAGAGAGGGGTATTATCCTCTCCCTGTTTGGTTAACAGGGAAAACTCATCTCATGGTAGTGGTAAAGTATTGAGTTTGGCAGGTTTGCCCGAGTTCATAGCCAGGCTTCCAAGAGCTCCTAGGCCTGGTGGGACAGCCATTCCTTGCAGCAACAGGGCAAATCTGCAGCACTGTCAAGAGGCAGCTCCGAGCTGTTAATGCCTCTGCTGTGTTGTGTTCTGAGGCTGTCTGGAGAAGACATTCAGGTGCTGGGAGAAGCTGATTGCCTGCTGTCAGTGCAGATCAAATAGAGGTCTGACTCCAGTAATGTATTAGTGACTGCTGGGGAGATCCACTCCTGCCTCAACCTACCCTCCATAAAAACACATTTGTGCATTCAGCAGCAGCATTTGGGCTGCTGCATCTCAGCGACCTAGTCAGTAAATAACATGTGGCACATGAAATGAGATAATGGTATTTTTATGTAGGAGAAAGACAAGCCAATCATTCATTCACAGTCATTTTTACTGTCTATTTTATTCTCTCTGATTCAAAAAAGCCTGTTTCCAGCACCTTTTTCCTCCATTAGAGGAGCTGACTTCAAAACCCATCTGCTATTCTCATACTTGAAAGGGAATAATGCCTTGCTCCATCAAATTCTTAAGGCAAATGTCTCTCTGCATCTCATTTCAGCACCTCTGAGTCTGGTTGCTTACCTTGGTATTTCTAAATGTAATAATTGTGCAGTGATGACCACAAAATAATTCCTTACCTCCACCAGGCATCACAGATAGGAGAAAAAACTGTCATCTCATCCTGGCCATCAAGAAAATGCAGTCTTGGTTGGTTTGGTCCTTGTCCAAACCCAGGAGGAAGAGGATGATAACGTGATCTCAGGAACAATTCTCTAGGCAAAAACCTCCAATCCTGCTTATGCTACTTCCTGGAGTATTGAAAATATTAAGCTGCTAAGGGCAGACTTCCCAAGGAACTGATCACAGGTGATGCAAATGGCTGGAGAGTTCTGTTGGATGCCTTTGGTCTCACCACAGCTCTTCAGGTGCCCACTGCACCTGGGGTTGTGTACAATTTGATCTATCCTCTGCAAAAACTCAACCTTCTTGGTGAATACAAGGCAAAGCATAATTCCCTTTCCAGGGCAAGGGAAAGCTAGTTGGTGGAGATGCCCTGCCAGCACTGAGCCAGAGGCACAGAAGAGTCATGGTGTCCTGGGAGCACCAGAGGATGAGCAGAGGAGTTTTCTCTAGCATCTGAATGGTTGTACTGGTCAGAAAAAAAAACAGGATCATAGGTATTTATTAAAACATTGAGAAGTGCTTTTCCCACAAGCCTATTGCATAATATTGTGTGTCATTCCCAGCTTCGTATATGCAGCCCACTGCTTTCCAAACTGCAGTGGAAGTTTTCCACGCACAGATGATTATATTTTTGCATTATCTGTAATGTAGCTTTCATCTCTTTAGCCTTTCAGATTTCACATCTTTATTTTAAAGATAGAGAATCTCTAACATAGGGACACTCCTGATTTGATGGGAGCTGATGAATAGGCTAAGATAAACACTGCATAAATGTTTGTTTGAAGTAATGCACTTGCTAGCAGAGTGAATCAAAAGTCTATGTTGCATGATGGTAGCTGTCACTTTATTAGACTTCTTAATTTAGCATTGAAGCCATGCTTTATGGCCAGCTATTCCTTTTCTACTTTGCAATTTGTCATCTACAGCATATTGATTGTGCACCTAAAATATTTGCACATCTTCTCAAATGTAATTTGCAGCTAGAAATTTCAGTTGGCAGAATAGCACCAGCAAAATGGAAAGGTAGTGAAAGCCCTTGAATGCACTGGGGGATTCCAATGGCATGTGGGGTAGCTTCTGATGGGTGGCAATCAGACAGCTTTTTGGTGGATCATGTGGTATTTATTTGGAGATGTAAGAGAAAAATCAGAGCTAAAATGATGAGTTGCAGGTATCAATGACTTTTTGAGTTCCTGAGCAAATAGCCTTACTGTCGGAGTTCAGGGACTATGGACCACAGTGAAGCCAAGGATCAGTTGCAGATCCTCAAGGCAAGGAAACTTTCTGGTTCACACTGTTTTTAGGAGGTCACCATGTTTTTTAGTGAGTGGATAGTTAGTCCACTTACTGGTGAAAAGATCTATGCAGTTGTCCAAGGTTGGGGATTCAAAATTGTCAGACAACTTGAATGATAGCCTGACTCACCAGGATGAGTCAGGGCTTGTTCTGGGAGGAGAACAGTTATTTATTTATTTACTTATTTATTCTTTTTTTCTCTTTCTTTTCTTTTGGGTGAAGGACTGGGTATCACCAAAGTGTTGCCTGTCTTCTCAGTGAAAAAAACACCGTAACACAGGAAGAAGTAATGAACTTGCTCACAGAACTTGCACAGATGGGAAAAGTCACCCAGAAGAATTTCCTATTCTCTGCAAATTGGCCTAGAAATCTAGTCATCTCGGGAACTGCAACTGCTTGTCTCTTCTCTGGAGTCTTTATAATTCACTGCAGCAAATCTCTTGGGGTGGTTTTCTTTGCATTTTCACTTGAACTGTGAAAGGTTGGACTAAGTATTTGCAAAAAGAGAGTGTCTTAGGGCAATGTTCTCTAGCACACCAGCAGCTTTTTCAGATGTTGTTCTGTCTTGTTTTACCTGTTTTACTAGTATCTGTAGGCAACACTTTCTGGGCAACATATTGAAAATTGCCTTCAGCCTGATAAGAAAAATGAAATGAGAACTCTGTCTCTTTTTTATCATGGTCCTTTAGAATGCAGTTCCCACTTTGTACCACAATTGATAACCAACAGCAAGATCTGCTGCAATGCCATGGTCAGTCTCCTTCTGTTGGCCAAGGAGACAGGTTTGTCTGGAAGAACCTTGGAAACCCTAAGAAATGCACTCTCTAAAAAAAAAATATTACTTTAATTACTGGACTGGGTCCAGAAACAATTGTTGTAGACACAGAATTTGGGGTTTGGGTTGCAGCTGCCATAGTTCTCCCCAGCCTGGCTCTTTCTTGCCCGAGGAAGAGGGGAGGGTGGCAAACAAAATGAGATATGCAATGGAGAGCTGAAAATCCTGAGCCCCCAGAACCTGGAACTCGAGAAATAATATCACAGTGTTAAGAGAGATAAGTCTTTTGATCCTGTTGGCAAAAACTGATGTTTCCCAGCTGGTCAGCCAGCTCTGGCATCCTCCAGTCACAATTGCAATTGAAAAATGACTGGAGAGCTGCTTCTGTGCTTAAGTCCTCACTGCCAGATGTACAATTACTGCCACTGAAATAGCAAAAGATGCTAGCTTGGGAACACAGTAGGCTCCAAGTAGCTTGATTTGCTTTTCATGGATAAAAAATGCAATGTAATATCTTACCTCTAAGTCTTGACCATGACTGATATATCTCAGCTCTCAGCCAGTGCTGGTTGTGATCTGTCCTATGTCTTTGCTTGCTTCAAATGGCTAAAATATAGAAGGTTTGTTGGTTCATATAAGATTTTGGCTGGAGGGAGGTAGGAAGGGGCTAAGTAATTTCTGAAGATTTGGTTTTCCTCTCCTAGACCCATGGCTTCCCTTCTTGGAAGCTTCTTAATTAGAATGAAAATGGACTAAATATTTTAAGCAAATCAGAATTTCAAGAAGCTGTTACAGCAGTGCCTCATGTTGAAGTGTGCACAGCACTGTGCACGTCGTCATTGAATAATGAATTAATAAATACCTTTGGAGGATTTTTTTTAGCCCAGAAAGCATACACCGTTTTAGCTTCCAGTCAATTGCCCTATTTACAGTGGTTCTTTTTTAGCAACACTATCAGTCCTGGAAGTAGCCTTGTCAATATTTTAGTTGCTTTGGTGTACAGAGCCATAGCATTCAGATGAATTGTAATCCTTAAATTGGCAAGCAAATAGGTTTGCTCAGCTTGCCTGTTCCCTTTCTGGTAACAGAAACTTGGAAAAGCTTCTATATAGGGTAAGGACAAAGCTTCTTGTCTGACACAGCTGTGAGATTCTATTGTTAATGGTAAAAACTCGCTCTGATGTTGCTGATTTGAAAGGTACAGAGAAATTTTGCCTACAGAAAAATCCTATTGCATGCACATCCAACTCTTTCAAAGACAAGGTGAGTTTAATATTTAAATCTCCACTTTTCTCCTCTGCCTGGGAGGGAGTTGATCTCCTCCTCCCCATTTTTAAAGGTGTTTATAGCCCACAGACTCAAACCTGCTAGAATGTGAGGCTAAATTGTGATTTGGATGACGAGCATTTGGACTCAGGTTGACCCCCCAGTATGGTTTGTATGGAGCAAGTGCCCCAGCCCACAATCCTCCTCCGCATCCATATGGTTAAACGAAGGATGCTGGAGGCAAAGGGGTAATAGGGTGAGGGACGTGGGTGTGCTGCCTGGCCCTGCCTAATGTCCTCCTGGGCTGAGATAGAGGGGGGGACTCTGAGCTGCAGCATCACACTGCAGTGTTCAGTGTGCAGCCCTCCATTCCCTCTCTGAGGCTGTGCCTGTGGAGAGGCAGGAACAAGATTCAGGTGGGTTGTCTTGTGAAACATGCTGACCGAAATGCTCTTGCAGGTCATATTGCTACTCTGAGAGAATAGCTTTTGCATAGAAGCAGTCCTGGAGGTATGCAGCAGCAGTCATGTTGTTGCCTTGTAGCTTTTGTTGTCCTTGTTCTTGAAGCTAAAGGCTGGGATGCCAGCAGCTTGGGAATGAGAGCACTGCAGACATTTCTGTCCCTGCCTTCCCTTTCCCTAGCACTGCCCAGGATGGTGCGTGGGCTCCCAGCATGACCAGTGACACCCATCCCAGCCAGATGAGGACCATGTCCACACCTGGAGATACCTTCCCCATGGCTGCTGCTTCTACCCTGAAAGCTCCTGCAGGCTTCCCGTTCATGATTGTGTTAAAAAACAAACAGTGGCATGTTTGTGTTTTAATTCTTTTCTGTGCCTCCTGCTGCTGTGCAGGAACATGCTGGTGACAAGAAAGCCTGCAGGAAAGAACTATCAGATACAGACAGGAGGACCTGCTGCATAATGACGGTGATGATACTCTAATGATTGACAAGTGTATAAAATAAATGGACTGGCAAATAGTTTTCCCTGGAATCTCATTTTACGATAGCCATATCTAGTGTTACTTCAAATAGAGGAGGTAGAAAGGTAAGAGTCTGAGGAATGGGACTTTAAAAAATATATATATGGAGTCCTATTAAGCTGCAAGAGAATCAGGATTTGGATGTAGTGCTCAGGCTATGTGTGATGGAAAGCAATCAGCAGAGCTCGGGTATGTTGGGAAGTAGGATATCAGGTCACACAATTCTGTAAGATGAAACCAACATTTGTTCAGGCTGTGATTCAACTTGGCTCTAAAGTATGTGTATTAAATCCCATTGACTTCAGTGGGACTATTTATGTCCTCTTAAAGTTACACAAGGGCTTAAATATTCTGCCACGTTAAAGCCTCCCATTGAGGCTTAAATTCATTCTTCCATTTAACTTAAAAATATCCCAGTGGCAATATTTAGTTTTAGCTAGGAAAAGCTAGAGAGAAGATGAATGACACTTCTCATTGAGACACACTCAGTATTTACGTAACTAGTTGCTGTGAGGTGTTTTCCAGTCAAAATTACACATCCGATTCATATAAACGCATTCTGAGGTCCATGTTTTTTAGCTTTGTTTCTCTCCAGTTTTTTAAACATATTTAAGCAACTAAACACAGTCTCTGAAAACTAGTCGATCATTTAAATTATGTTATTAGCATTGATTAGCCTGACAGCACGGCACTTCCATTTAAATGCCATTAGAAAGTAGGTGACAGCCACGATGGATCACAGAAGGAAAAGAAACACTCTTAGCAAGGAGTGGTGGACATGGTTCTGAAGGCTTTGTAAGATGGGAAAGAACATAAGAGAGACAGACAAAGTGCAGTAATTCAGGACTACAGGTGAGAACAAACAGGGTGAAAACTCCCTCAGGAGAAAAGAGCACAGACAAAACGGAGTGAAAACACAAAGCATATTAAAGCTTTGTGTAGATGGTGCCAAATGAAATAGTTCTTCTTAAGGTATGTGCCTAGACCTCATCTGTGCCAGTAGAGCAGAAAGGTAGGAACGGTCACTGCTCCCTCTTAACAAAAAGTGCCTCTTCCTGTGGCTAAACCGATAGTTACTGAGTAATCTCTTCATTGCAGAAGTTCTATCCCATGTAGCTGAATAACTTCTTACAAACGGTTCCTAAAACCCAGTAATAGCTTTTTGAATGTTGCATTGCAAAGAAACTGTCAGCCTGCACGTCTCCTGCAAGCAGGAGTCAAACATACAATAAACCCTGTAAGAGCTGCCTTTAAGGGAAAAATACATAAATAAATAAATAAATTGTGACTGTAAACCTAATGGTTGTGATGTCAGGTTGTAATGTCTGATTCTTTGATGGTGCTGCTTGGCAGAGTAAAGCAGTTATTCTCCAGACTAAATTTCTGGAAGCTAACCCAAATAATTCTGCAACTCTGGCAGGCTTCTGGTATCCAGAACTGTATGTTTTTTCAGGGACTGATTTACTGAACTCTTGCCCCTTTAGTTGTCATTCCTGGTTGTGCAAAGAGATTCATTTGCTAGTAACTCAGTGCTTCATACTCATGCTGTGCAGGAACAGCTGATAGCGCCAGGTGGAGAGCAGGGGGGTGATCAGACCCAAGAAGCCTGCATGGAAATTTCAGCCAAGAACTTTTTTTTCCTTCAATGACCAAGACATAAATTCTTGAAAATGGCAGTTCATAAATGGAAATGCTGACTCAATTGTAGCTATAGTCACGGTGGCCCTGCCATGATTCTGCAAGCAGAGAATACATTGTTGTCAGCAGATGACTACATTTTTCAATTTTAGGAGCAGTTCTCTTGATGTGTTAACCTTATTTACACTTGTTTCAATATACCCATGTCTTTCTGCTGAATGTCAAGGGCAGCTCAGGAATTAACAGAATTAACAGTTTCTTCCCACTGTAATGCAATCACATCAGCTTTGAAGCAATGAAGGGGTGGTAAAAGGTTTTGGTACTGAACTGCAGTGTTTTATAGAGATGGGGCACAGGTTCTCATTTTGTGCATACTGGTGTGTATGGAGACAAGCTCCTTGAGGTTTACAGAGTCACGGACTTCTTTGTTTAAATTTAGGACACAGTATAAAGTCCATTTCAAGCAATTGGTTAACTAGCCACACAAGTTCTTCTTTGGTGTCTTAGGGTATTAGTACAGTTTGTTGAGTGGTGGTTGGTATTTCTAAAGAAGGTTGATGGAGCTGGACATAGAGTGCTGGCACCATATTCTTTAGGGTCACTGAAGATTTCATGTATCCTTCAAAGCACTGGTCCAAATTTTCAAAGTCCTTAATATGCTGCTGTCCAGGTACCTTCCAAACCAAACGCAGTTTTCACATAACCTTATTAAGAGGCAGAGGAGGACAGGGGAAGGAGAAGCTTAGTGGCATAAAAGAGAAGGATTAAAAAGAGAAAGGTGGAATGAAATGGTAGCAACAAACTCATACTAATAATTATACGATGTCCAATAACAAACTTCAAATGGCTGATTTCCAGTTGGTCATTTTTACGTATCAGTTTAAGTACAGATTTGGGTGGCTAATTATAGACACTCCAATATCTATTATGTGAAATCACAGTTTGAAATTATTCAACATCTTCCTATTATATTTGGATAATCAGTGTTTTATCACACTGCAGAATCATCTGAACAAAAAAGCTTTCAGAAAGTATATCTTTGCTGTTAGATGGATAACTCAGGAGAGATTTCCTTTATGAAAAGCAGCTGTCAGATACCCTTCAGCAGATTAACGTCCTTGCAGACTAATGAGAAAAGAGAGCCAACCAGGATATGAGATCTCATATGCCATCTACCCTCTACAACATTTCCAATTTGGAAAGTTGGACCAGAAACTGTTTTCTTTTGTAACAGCTAAAACCTGGTTGTTAGTAACTTTGTGCAGGTTTTTGGAGGAAACTGCTGTATCTGATTCTTTATCTTGAGCCTGCCCGACAGCATTGCATTTACCCTCTTAACATGAGAGGCAAGTTATGGAATATTCACTGCACAGCCATATCATGCTTAAGATTAAACCTTGGCTGACGAATGAACTGTTCACTTGTGAATGTAATAGCTAACCATTAAAGCATTAAACTGGCATCAGACCTATAGCACACAGTCAATGAAATGGTATTAAAAAAAAAAAAAAAGCTGTAATTGCAACCTGTACCTTTTCAAAATAATTCCAGTCGTGCCATATATACAGGTAGGTTGGATGGGCCCATGGTATACTGATATAGTATATCCCTGCTTGTCTCTCCCAGCACAGACCCTGGGAGCTTCAATCCATTGAAAAATGTCTTTGAATGCTATAAATAACTCAGTGTTGCTCCCTGTTTGTAAATGAGACAATGGAAGCTAAATATATGCTGACTCTAGTGTGACAGATCCTGAAAGCGATTCTTATTCATTCTGATTCTTGCCCAGAATATCTTTCTTGAAGTCCTACTTCTGAGTCACTGAAGAAAACAACACTGACATCTCCCCTTTCAGCCCTGCTCCACTGACAGGAAAGGCTTGGGTAATGGTACAGAGCTCAGCTGATTGCAAAGTGAGAAAAAATGTTGGTCACTTCCCTGGTTTCTGTGCAAAGTCCATACCACCAGGATCCTTAGATGATTTATACTGGCACCATTATGTTGATG